AAACTGTGGGCATTTAACAAAACAATGTTTCTCAAATGGTTGGAAAAAATGCAAAGGTGGGTTGCGGCAGTAGAAGAACAAATTGTCATGGTGTCAAGAAAAAGGAGTAAGAGATCTTAAAATAACTGTCAAAACACTTGTGAAGACTATCAACTGGTGCAGTTTGGACTTAATCTGTCAAAAAGACAATGATCAAAGGTGTGCACAGAAATAAACTGAGTTTACAGACCAATAAATGCTTTCAAGCCATAATTAAGTGAGATGGAAGATGTACATACCGATATGTCTATCTGGTCAGAAACAACTAGTAACTGTTAAGAAATAGATATGTTGGCATGTTTAGAGAAGGAAGGGTGAGGCATTTAATAACAAAGAAAAAAACACCTCCACAGAGGTGGAGACACACCAAGGAGGTGGGTGTGTAATGCTCTGGGGAAGTTAAAGGTGATCCAGAAAAGTGAATCCATGAAAATTTTATAAAATAAAACCTTTACCATTGTTTTATCTTCCATCAAGACAATGACCAAAAGCATTCACTGGTAGATATCTCCAGAAGGACAGAGTTTATATTACTGCCTGGCCAGCAACAAGCTCTGATCTGTGGAGTGAAAAGAAGACTACTACCTCAATCATAAATCTCATTAAATAGTTAACATGTCTTTCCAAACAGACATTCTCCATCATTTCTGTCAGGTACAGAAACATAAACATGTATTTTGTGTTATTCATTGTTGCTTAGATATAGAATATATTAAATGTTATTACATATCATCATTAAGTATTGCCAGGGTATTTTCACCCACATTTCAAAGATTGAACAATCGACAAGTGCTCCTTCAATACTCAATCTTAATGGCTTAATTTGCTTTTGTTAATAACGTTAAGTGAGAAGACTCTACACTTTTAATTTGCTTTATTTTTGTTAAATGAAGACTTCTGTGAATTACCAAAGTAAATGTAATGTTTTTATTGTTGTTTTGGGAACTGTATATTTTGTCTTGAAAGATTATAAGTGAATTGTTAATGCTGTCCAGCTCTATCTACATGATAAAAACAAAATAAACATCACTTTTTAGAAATGATCTCCGTTTTTTCTACTGCTTAATAACACGCCTTGTTAAAGGGTCATTCATTCATTGTCACATGCACAACACAGCAGACTGTTTAGTTAGCATTACTATTAATACTGACAGACTCAGCAGAATAACAGCAGCTGATTTAGCAGACTACGAGATAATTTGTTTATGAAACAGCAGCACAATCGTTAAATGATGTGAGATAGCCAATTTATTTTAAGTTTAAATAAAATTGTCGACATATATTTGAACCAATTTTGAGCAGTGTGTAGCATTGTTGTACTCTGGGCCAACTGGCCTGTGTTAGCTGGACCACTCATTGTTATTGATGATGTTTGGCGGTTAAACTTACACTCAACTACACAAACGTGTGCATATTGTTGCTGCTACCAGGCTGTGTTGGTGTAGACGAGGCGGGCAGTCAGTTTCCTGGCTCCGCTGTGACTCGGTGCCACCTCTGCTGCTTCTTTTTCTTTCCTGGGTTTACCATCAGCTTCGGCGCCACCGCTGGCCGCCACAAACGGGACGAAGAGACAGAAACCGGCGCTAACGTTTTACGGGGTTGCGGGTTTTCCCAAACGCGGCGCAGAGACAGAGAGGGAGGTGGGAGGACGGACCGGTCTAACGGCTACAGTTCCCGTCTGTAGCAGCCGAACCGCCGGACATCTGTCTGCGAGTCCAGGCAGCTTATTTTACCGCCGGCAGGACGCGTCTCTGTTCGAGTTCCAACGAAGAAAGCATGTCCATTGCTAAATGTGACAATAGGTTATGGTTAGCTTTGACCCAATTCTCTGATATTCTGAAACGGCGGATTTCTTTACGATCATACGGCGTCATCATTCACTGTAATACGTCCTGACGTCATTCCTCGGCGACTGTCGGTGCCCCCAAATTTTTAGATAAATTTAGGATTAAAAATATGCATTTGTCAGAGTATTAACGTGTATTGAGTAAAATAAGTTTAGCGTTTATTCTTAATAAAAATCAATCATATTGTGTTTGTGAAAGTAGTAATGAAGAACATATTCATCTCCATACTGGGCCGTTTGCCAGCGTGTCCTTACATGACCCGACAGAAAAGCTACATGAGGACAACACACACACTGACGACGTTCACACAACCAGGCTGAAATGAAACATATCCAGAACTCCTTAAGTGACTTCTGTTTGAATTGTATATTAAAATAGAAGCTTACTAACAGGATTAGTAAGCTTGGCACAATTGTTTCAACTAGTTTTAACTTCAGGTCGACATTTGAATTTCGTTGAGGGAAAAGTATATATATACTGTATATATCGTTTAATTTGAAAATGTTTTAAATTTCTTGCTATGGAATATAGTAGCTCGATTTCTATTTATTATTCTTAATTCTTTTCTATATCTTAGAAAATTTAATCATTCTAAGGTTTCTTTGACATGTTCTAGCCTGCCAATGTCAGAATTCTAAAATTTGAGACAATGTCATAACTCAAATTCTGTAAGTAAAATTTCATATTTTATTACAAAAACAAATAAGCAAACACAAGTTAGCTAATAATTAATATTTTGATTTTTGATATTAATTTTTGGATTTGTTCATGAAGTTGAAAAACACAGTTTTTTATCCAAGTATGTTTAATAAATTTTGATTACCTATTAGATGTATCTATATTTATTTTATACATTGACTAAAAAAGTACAAAGCCGTGGCACAGACAGACTAAGTGTTCAAAATTCTATGTGAAGCACATTTTTATACTATTTGTTATTACACATAAAAGAGAAACTATGACAAAGATTTCTAAAAATCGACATTTGCTAGAAAATTTAGTCGCGCAACAACTGTCTGTTAAATATTGTCTAATAAGTCTATATGGGGATTTTCTGATTTTCATTTATTGAAAACATAAAAACTATCCAGTCAAACCAAGCCTTTTCACTCAAATGATTTTCCATTTCCAACTGCATAGCGTTGGTTTTATTGGTCCAAATGTTTGTTTGATCACACATGCACTCATCTATCTCACGCTGTAGTTAGAAGATGAGTGAATGTTAGTTATGCCCTCTTGTTAGCACACTCATTTCATTTTCAGTTTTCCCATTCAGTCAACCACCAAATTTCTTGAATAACCAGAATAAAAAGTAAACACAGTTCTTTCCAAAACAAATGCCCTGTGCACACAATTTGGCAGACGCAGCATCCATCTAAATCCTGAGCTTGCAGAGAGACATTTAAAAATAAATGTATTAACTTAAAAATTAGCACAAAAAAAGGGGTTACCAAATTTTTAGCCCATGCACAAATAGCAAATGCTTGTTATATTAAAATAGAACCATTTATGCATATTTATAAATTTGGGGGTGAGGTGATTGTCTAAAAGATATGATTAGTTTCCAAGTGAAGCATCAACAGAAGTCTTGAATCTCCTGTTCCATCTCCTGAAAAAACAACAACAAATAAACAACCAAATTAAGTTTACATTTAGTAAACACAATAACAGGCTCAATGTAAATACAATTATCCTAGTTTTTTTGCTATGTTACCATTATTAGGTATAGAACAACATATATATGTATTTATCCCATTACAAGAATGTTATAAACTACCTATGTATTTTTATGCCTTTAATAACTATAATTCTGATCAATAGCTTTACCAGAAGAGCTCAATATAAAGGGAAAACCTTGGAAAGTTGTCAGTTGTAATTTATGTATAACATCAGTTAACATTTAAAAGAAAAATATGAGTGAACAGTATACTGATCCCCAAATTACATGATTCAAAAATAGCAAACAATTACAAATTAAAAAAACAATTTAAGGAAAACATATCTTGCAGCTTGGCAATCCATCAGTAGTGTGGAAAGAAGCCGTGAGAGCTGATCAATTCAATTCTGAACTAACCTGTAATAGTGCTGTTTTGTTATGATTTCGCCTGTGTCTGTAAATGCTCTGGCAAAGGAGTGCGTAGAGTTTCTCCAGCTTGTAGACCACAAAACCCTCAGTCTTGGCCACCACCCTTTTCAAGAGGTCCTATAGAAAAATAGGATGACATTTAATTAAATAGCTAAAAAAATATACAGAAAAAGAAAAACAGCCGATAAGCCATCATAAATCATAAAATTTAATAATTGTAATAAATAATTAATTTTATTGCAGTCACAAAAGATTTTGCTCAGCAAATGTTTGGCCATTTGTTTTGAAGTTATACTTTACATATCCAAATAACACGTGTTTTGACAGTTGTGCTTGAGTAACACATTTTAGCTAATTTAATTCAGTACATGTAGTTAAGCACAAAAGAACACTGACATGATGACATAATGTTAATTGGCCTAATTAGAAGGATCTATGTATTAAAGCAATGGTTTCATACTTTATACTACTAAGTTAAAGTTGAAACCATAACATTGACATGTTAAAAAAAAATTCAGTTACCAATTTCAATATTTGTTATTTTTTAAGTTAAAATCAGTTCCCATAACCTTTAATTTCTCTGTGTCTACCACCAGAGGAGGAACTTCTTGATCCGGGATCTGCAGAGCTTTGTCGACATCTATTATCTGCTGTTGCTGCACGGCATTCTTTAGACCCCGAGTCATTTTACTCACACTCCGCTCTGAAACACAGAACACATGTTAACACATTCAGACATCTACCCCAACAGACAGCATGCTTGCACATAACTTCGAGAGCATAAAAAAAAAAAAACAAAAAACAAAAAAAAACAGTGACTGGACATGGCTACTTCTAGCACAACACTTCTAGCACAACTACTTCTCTTCACATTATTCTCTGCTAATGAACTTTTACCAGTGAGGCAGTCCTCCTCCCCTCTCACAGCTGCAGAAGCATCTGTGGTCATAGTTTCAATCTCCATTGGCTCTCCACGACTTCTTCGTTCTGACGTCTTTAAGTCATTACTGTATGCTTCCAGTGGCTCACTATGATGTTCTCTCATCTTTGTTCTCTCACTTCTCTCTTTTCTGCCCACCTCTACTGAAGTCTTTGTGCTTCTCACATCCGCTCTGTGTGTTAACATTTTATTGTCCTTTAATTGTCCCGGTTTGTCCATGACCTTTCGGCCGCTCTGTTCATTCTCAGCAGGTCCTGTTTTGCCTTCCTGAGCTTTTTCACCCTCCCCATTGCTGTCTTCATCATCTTCATTCTCATCTGAAATCAACAATGAATCATCTTTGGACGTGTGAGGAGAAAGAGATTTTTTCTTCATATATCTACCAGTGGCCCAGCGTCTTCGTCTTTTTTTCCGATTAACTGCAAATACAAGATTAGCAAATAATTTTTTGAAATAAGTTGAAATATAACTTAAATTAACCTATTTTTTTACCTGTGGATTTAGGGGGTTTTACAGCAGGGGGACTTGAAGATGGAGTAACAGCAGGTGTGGTATCAGCTGTATCTCTTTGGGGGGTCATGTTTGTGGTCCTTACTTCTGAAGGCTGTTGAGGAAGGATGTGGTAAAAGGACGGAGTAAACTGTCCAGTATTGCAACCAGAACCTGAAAATAAACAAATATTTTACAAGCTTTGGAAAACAGACAAAAAGGACACACCTGATCTTTAATTGTAATGTAAAAGCAGTCTTATGTCCGTCTTGTTCCTAAGCTACTTCCTACGTGCCACTATCCATAACACTGAAACTATAATTTATTTTTTTCACAAACAGATGCACAAACCTCTTGTACTGCGTGATGTTTTGATCTCTTCACAGATCTTCTCAAAGTTTTCATCTAGTTCCTCTCTGATGATGGCGTGGACAGTGTCCTTCAGTGCACATGCTCTGTGGCGGATCTGACGATCTGGGGATCAAAGGAGTCACCATTAAGAAACACAAGGTAGTCAATACAAAAATGAACATGTATTAAAGGGGACAGATTATACTACTTTGGGCTAATTACTATAGTTCCTAGTCAGTAACTGTGTTATGGATGAAACGACTAGTGCCTCAAGTGTTTACAAAATATGTTCATTTCACACTGTGCTTAATGAGCAGCTGTGCTTAGCTTCTACGCAGTATGTGCTTTGTGGTGTTACAAAGGGGTAAAATGATATATTGACGACTAAGTCTGCTGTCTAAAAAAAATCAAAAATCTCAAATCAGAAAATAAGTTTAAAAACCTTTTTAGGTCCTAGTTAATTTAACCCAGTCATCTCCTACTTATGCTGCTTTAGGCCTAGACGGCTCCCTCCATTTATTTAGAGTTATACAGTTTACATTACAATAATGACTATAACCTTTTCCTCTTTCTTCTCTCCAGTTTGTGCCTCTTCTCTCTCCTCTCTGTTCTCTTTCTGCAGGTACCTGTAACTCAAGGGCTGCAGGACAAGATTCCGACCAGATGCTTTTGTTATTACCTTTAATATCATTATCATTAAAATGATATCATCACAATTACAATTTACATTTGTTTAAAAGTTGTTTTTTTTTTAAACTTGTCTGATGGTATTCTAACAGCCACTTTTTAAAAATATTTTTTTCTTCTCTATTCTCCACAACTTGAATATTGTTGTACTTGATGAGGCTTTAAACACTGTATATGATAAAGTATAAAATATTCTTAGAAAATCCTTGTAATAAATGTGGATATTTGGGGATACTCTGGCTAATGGTTTCTGAAGTTGACAAGATTTATACAAGTATGCATTTATCTTCAGAGTTTGTTTATAATTCACCTGAAGGGTCTTTGTCAGGGTTGTATTCTAAGGCATTCTGCCAGATGAGATCCACATCTCGGAGGTACTCTTTCACTGTTCCATAATGATGCAGATCTATCTGTGTGAGAACTTTTGAAAGGTCCATGGGCTTTTTGATCACCTTAGCATAATCTGGAACCTGAAACAGAAAATATTATCTTAGTCTGACAAAAATGGAAATAATAAAAAAGCAAAAAATAGTGATTTATCCAAAGCAAAATAAAAAGTAATTGTTTAATCTGAGATATTGTGATACGTTAAAAGCCACTGCACCTCCTCCAAATCCACAGGTTTTGTAAAAGCCTTAAAACGTTTATCTTGGGAGAGTCGGTTGGTGACATCACGCAGGAAAAGGCGGAGCTCCCGGAGGGTGTCTTCTTCCTGCTCCTCCAGTTTTCTGGTCTCCTCTTCTGTTAACTGGCGTGGAGGAGGTGGAGGAGCCACAGGAAGCACCTCCAAGGCTTGAAGCACTGAAGAAACAGCATTTACTGTTATGCAAGGTCTGTAAAATAATATTTTTATACTGAAAGAAAGAATTTGCATCAATCATTCCAAAGATAAATGTAGTTTGGAGTAAATAATGTTTAAAATGGTTTCTTAAATATTTTGCACATCAACCATCTATTTTATTTCTTGCAACATTTTTTTCCTCACCTGCTTTCTTTTTAGAGGCAGGGGCTTTAGCAGCCTGGTTAAGTATCAGGTCCTCAAAGAAGTCTCTTCTTTCTTTACTTGTAGGCACTGGGACATGAAAAACCTCCCCATACTCTGCTCGGAACAACTCCTGAATCTGAGGCAAGAAAACAAATTAAAGATTTTTCTGTAGAATATTCATGTAGAAAACAACCACCAGAAGACACTAGACTCAATAAATAATTTTAGTACCTCCACACTAAGTTGATTATATCTGAGGTTGCAGGTGGCCAGTAGTAGGATTGGCGAGAAGGCAGGGATGGAGCTGAGGAGACTGAGGAAGGTGGCACGCAAGGCAGGACCTACTGTTTCCCACCACTGTCCAATGTGAGGGATGTATAAAATACTTGGAGAGGTACGCTTTGCTTCAACAAAGATCTGCACAACAAAATAATGTAGAGTTTTAATGGCGAAAAGAAAATGTAAAGGTAGATGAAAGAAAGAAAAAAACTGTCAAATTAAAAATTTTAAAGCAACATTTAACTCATGTTTTGTATGTATCGGTAGAATACTCATTCTAGAATACTTAGAATACTGCCAGAGAATGAAATATTGGTCAATGGTCAGACAAAATTTGTCTGTAGTACATTTTTATCCCCACTGCCTATATTGAAAGATGTGGGGCCCATGAACTACAATCTCTGTGGCAGCCATTTTGGCCAGTGAGGTCCACTGTGAAAAACACACTGAATTTGACCAAGCTGCAAAAGTAAAAATATTATATCATTAAGAATTTTAGTTTAATTTTAAATTGAATTAGGCCAAGAAAAGCATGTAATGACTTCTCGTGTTTTTTTTTTATTATTTTACCTGAGCACAAGTCTCTTCTGGTGCAGTTACACTAGTTCCAAATAGTACAGCTAAGTCCAGCGTGTAGACAGTGAATTTCTCCAGAGCATGAAGAACAGCAGGAGCCAGATGTGAACTCTGACCAGAGCCTGACTTGCCCTCCAGCAACAGTCTGGGACGGTAGGATGTGGGCTGGCTCAGGACACTTCCGCACAAAAAGAAACAAATTCAAATTCAATTTGTACGTTTATTTAATGTAACTGAAATTTTTTTAATAACATTTTGTTGACATTTACCTGTCAAGGTTAAGTAGTCCCTTAAGAGTACATGTGCTATGCTGAGTTTGTTGAGTTTGTCTGGTGGAGCAGTCCTCTTCAACCTCCTCCTCACTGAAAACCAACTCATCCTCTGACACTGTGCAGGCTGCATCTACACAACAAGCAACAAAACAGTGCATACATTTTTTAACCTGAATTGCATAAAAGGCATCCAGATTTGAATTTTGTAAACACAACAGAGAAATTAATTAGAGTTAAGTCAGAATGCTACCTTGTAGACTTCTCCTCTTCAACCCCTCCTCAGCATGAGGAAACACTCTGTGGACCATGTAAAGGATGTTCTGCAAGGTAGTGTTCAGTAAAGGACGGACGGCAGAAATCAGGGCCTTAGCTGGTGAAACTACAGCTCTAGTGGAAGAAAAACAATCACATTTAATTAAAAAAAAATCCAACACCATGATTTAATAAGGATAAAGGAATTGTGAACTACCTCTGAGCAGCTGGTACCATCTTGGACATGGCACACAAAAAGTCCTTGTTTGTGATGTTAATTGAGTTGACATCCAGCACCAGCTTCTGTGATGAGGAGTAGATTTGTGGGTAGCGTCGGCGCAGCGCACACAGTGCTGCCTCTGAACACACTGCCTTGATGTCTGCTCCACAATATCCTGACAGTCAAACACAAACGGCATTTTGTTACTGCGCAATAAATATTGGTACTTTATTCTGAGCCCAGAAGGTTCAAAACTCAATCTCGATTTTTTTGGTGCAATTTCATGGATGTTGTCGATTAGTCTGATTCTGAGGCACGGGCTTTGTGCTTGGGTTATTCATGGATAATTTTAAGCCCTGAAGGCACATTTTTAGTAAGATGTGCATTTGAGGGGTTGCTGGAAGACATACCAACACATTTCTCTGCCAATTCTTCCAGAAAAGTTTCAGAAGGAGAAGGAGTCCACTGTCTGGTGTGGATTTTCAAAATGTCCTTCCTTGCCTAAGAAAAAAAAGGTCACAATTAAGTATTAAAATATAGATCAAGAGCTCTATGCTAAAATATAATAAAGGCAGCCAAATAAGAAAAACATATTTTAGTAAGAAATCCAAGCAAAAATTAGATTTTTCTGTTCCATAATTAAAAACACTGTTATAAAATTTGACTTTGTTTGTCTTTGTGGAGTGCTTAAACACACACTAAGGCCCATGAAATAAATATCATTAACTGTATCAATAACTGTGTCAAGACACATCCCATTGTTTTCATCACTAAACCAGATGTGGACTGTGGCTTCAATAATTGATTTCCTTTGTTTTGGTCTTTTTCAGTTTAAATAGTAGTTCAACTACTAGCCCCTGTGTCTGCTTGGGCCACAATCAGGAGCATAGAGAACAATCTTTACTGTTCACAGGGGCATTTAATATAAAACTTGGCGAACTTGAAGTCACATGTTGGGGCTAGTGTCCTATGTCACTGTGTTTAGGACACAAAAATGGAAAGACAAATTAAAAAGTTTTGCACATTTTCCCACCTCTCTATCAGGGAGGCCAAAAAGAAATTCTCTGTCAAAGCGTCCTGGTCTTCTTAGCGCTGGATCAATGGAGTCTAATCTGTTAGTGGCTCCAATCACAACTATTTCTCCTCTACTGTCTAATCCATCCATTAGAGCCAGGAGGGTTGACACAATGGAGCTACAGAGGAAGAAGGAACATATCAGGAATTTGTTTTACTGTACAGTGGTTACTATGATGCCAAATATGGACCAAATAAGATATCAATCAGAAATCACAAACTCACAAGCCTCAAGATTTATGGACTGTAAAAGTTCTAAAGCTGTTAAATTACACAATTTACATTTACACAATATAATTTGCCTATTTGTCACTGACGGGATCATAATAAGAAAAAAGAATAATACCATCTTTTGTTTAAACCTATCCTGACACTTGCATCTAAGACCATTTACCAAAAGTTATATTATGTTTCATATTATTCCTTAAAAATAACATTAACAATGATTCAAGGTTTTTATAGCTCTGGCGCAAGGTGAGATTAAAAAAATATAACCTTCACTATTTTCTTTAAATAGTGTCTGGATTTTGCATTATGTGATGCACTATTTTAATAATCACAAAAACACCAACAAAAAAACCCCAGATATTTAGGAACATTACTGACCTGTGGATCTGGTCCTGACGACTCGACCGAACTGGGGCCAAACCATCGATTTCATCAAAGAAAATAATTGATGGACGCATCTGATAAGCCTACAAAAATTCATTGGGAAATGTTAAGATGTAGAATTAGATTATTACAGAGCACTACAGATTGACTTATATATATTATGTATAAGTCAAACTGTCACACTAGTGAGTTTTTCCTATTGAGCTGTTGCTAGTTTGTAGAAACTTGACATTTATTAAGGCTGTTCTTCCATTGGTGAGGTATTACCTGGTCAAAGAGCAGTCGTAGCTGTCTCTCAGATTCTCCCACCCACTTACTGAGACAATCAGCTCCTTTTCTCATGAAGAAAGACACTCTTCTTTCGCCCTGGCTGCACTCGTTAGCCAGAGCTCTGGCTACAAGGGTTTTTCCTGTGCCTGGAGGTCCATAGAATAGACAGCCCCTAAAAACAAGACCAAGTATTTGTTCATAAAACATAAATCGATAACTGCTATAAAACCCTAAATGAAGCCCACAGCAGCATAAGGCTGAAAAACAAAATTATTTTCAGATAAGTAAAAAACGTTGCAATTAGAGTTTGTTAAAAGACAGGGGGAGCATATGTCACCTTTCAACTGTAACAAGTTGCATTCTATTTCTAAAGAATAATTTTGGTTTTCTCTTCATCAAAACAAACCCTGTTCACCTGGGTGGCTGTATCTTGAATCTCTCAAAGACCTCGGGGTAGAGAAGAGGGAAGACTACCATTTCCTTCAGGGCAGAGATGTGTCTGTTCAGACCTCCGATGCTGTCAAAGCGCACCTACATCAACCACAAAGAGGTGTATTTACAGTATATTAGTAATACTTCTGGAGAATAAAAGGGTTTGGAAGTATAGTTCTGCATACTCTGTTTTTATTTTATTGTGAATTACCACACTTTCCTGCTTTAAAGACCCAGTTTAACCACACTGTTTTTCAGTATTATTTGTGCCAGTCTGCCTTTCCATGCATTCAGTATCTTACTGTTCTGTCTATTTGCATCGGGTCCACATCAGCCAGACTGGCTCCTATCTTCATCCGATCCTTCTGGATTCCCAGCAGGTCATCTTTTACAAGGTTCATTGGTAGACATCTGAATGAAAAAAAGAGTATAACTTCATATCATATCGGTTTTCTCAAGTAAAACACAAGAAGTCCAATAGTGCAGTACATGTGCTGGTTAGGAGATTACCTGTTGACTGAGCGACTCCTGTTAATACTTCTCCGTCTCTGAAATTTCTCATCATCTGAAGATGAGGAAGTGGAGTCACTGCTATGGATGGCATGTCTCCTTCTGTATGAGAAAAGTACGCAAACACAGGTGATAAATATGACAACTTGCTGTTACCACCAATAACCATCTTTGACATGTGTTCATAAGGACAATAAGAATGAAGCTGACAGTTTAGTAATAAACTTAAAGCAACAGAACAATATTCGTTGCAAAGTAATCCATCAACTACAACAGCAGCATGGAGGTGATCCTGCAACCATTTAAAATGAACCCATCACCATGCAGAACCCTGGAGTAAAACACAAGGGAATTAATCCTTATAGCTATTTTATGGCTTGAAACAAAATAATGTACACAATTTAAAGATTTTATATTTCATAATAAATAAAAATAGAGCAGCCCAATGTTTCACTCCTGTGATACATGTTCCCGCAAGTGCCACCACTATACAGAACCATAGTCCTCACATAGACAGACAAGACAACAGAGACAAAACTAAGAAATAAACGGTGCCTTCAAATGGGCCTGTGTGTACCAGATCACTATACTCTTAAAAGTCTCTTCACAACTTTCCAGTTTGGAAAGTTTTACATTTATGAGGGTAGTTTTTTATTCATCTAGAAAATGTGAAATATTTCCCTAAAGACTAAATGTGACCCTAACATTATTTGACAGCAGCTGGTGTGACAAAAAAAATGTTGTTCACAACAGGCTCACCACTACGAACTGTAGTTTAATACATACAAAAATCCCATGTGAAAGCACTGCAACACTGACAGGATTTTACAAATCTTACCTCTCGGAACTACTCCTGAGTTTGGACAAATATTAGAAAAAAAAGGAGAAAAAGGGAATTGGCTGCAGAGCATTGATTCAATTTCAGCATGTGATGACACGACAGGATGAAGTATGTTGAGGTAATACAATGTACCGGCTGTGTCATTACGAAAATGTAACTTGTTCAAAAGACAGGCAATGCTAACAGGCAATAATAATTAATTAATTAATTTAAAAAATGCATCTCCCATCTGTGTAATGAACTATATACATTCAACCCAGTGAAAGAAGTAGATGTGATAATTAGGGCTGCTATTATTATTACTATTATGAAAATCATGATTATTTCACAAAATTAGTCAGTGATTCTGGAACATCATTGTAGTTATTGCACATAAAGAACAGCAAATGAGATTTTTCTTTGATAACCCACTGCTGAGCTTTCTCTTTAAAAAACTAAAAGTATAATATTTAAATATAATAAAAATTACACAGGCATGCGGTGTCGTGCAGTTACACAGACCTGCTGGTTCTTATATTGTTGTAAGGGCTCCTAGGGGCTGTGGAGCTGAACAAGAACCTGCGTCTGGTTGGAGACGAGTGGTCCTTGAAGTACATGGTACGCTTCCTGGTCTCTCTGGGTTCTAATAAAGTAAACATACAGGAAAATCAAATGAGCAATTAGGAATTCTACACATATACTTCTATAGTACTGGAGCCACTTTGTACCAAATGCAATATTTTCTACACATAGCACAGCAGCCATACCATCCTGTGGAGCCTGGTATCGCACTACTGCCTTTCGCTGTCTGAAATCATAGCGCCTCTGATGTTCTTCTTCTTCTTCTTCCTCCTCCTCTCTTTCGTCCGCATCATCATCATCATCCTCATCGTCATCATCTTCTTCCTCATCCTCTTCTTCTTCCTCCTCCTCCTCTTCATCAATATGATCATCATTCACTCCTTTACATAAAATTATGATGAATTAAATAACCAACATTCTCAAATAATCTACATGTTTAATATTCTCGTCTATTTGCTATGATGTGAAGTGCGCTCAGAACTGCATTTTACCTTTGCTTTTCTCCTTAGTGTCTTTACTCTCCACATTTGTCCTTAGTAATCTTCTCATTTGACTCCGAGTGTAAACACCAATCTTAAAACATGAGCAACAGATTAAATATAAATTGTCTGACTTGTTCGTATGTTGGATTTGATTGAATTAAAAAAGGGCATAATTAGGTTTTTACTTGTTCTTTAGTTTCTCTGTCTCTGCTCCTCAGCCTCCATCTCATCTTTTCTATGTCATCCATCTTTTGGAGGACTGCTTCAGCAGTGCTGGTACGATAAATTGTGTATCACATTTTTGTATACAAACTCTGAAATAATAAAATAAAATAAAATAAAAAACGATTGGCTGTTGATGAACTTACTTAGTAATTAGACGATCATAAAGCACCGACTGGTTGCGGGAGTCTAACTTGTATCTGGTAATTCGGGAGCTTCGTCTCACTGGGTGATCCTCCTCCTCTTCCTCCTCCTCCTCTTCCACTTCACGATTTTGTAGGTTAAAGCGACTCCTCTTTGGAGTAGATGACCCCTCCACTTCATCAGGAATGTCTTGAGCACAGATAGTAATATAATTTAAAAGCATAAAGGCCTGGTGGATCAGTTTACGTGTTTAGAGGAGACAATGAATTTATTAATAAAACAATACAACCAAAATAGTTACTAGGCAAATATAGCAGTTCCAGTTAGTCCATACAGTGGACCAAGTCAGTGTCAAACAAGTTTTCTAACATTTAATTAATGCCTATAATTTATTTATTTTATGCACATAAGTGAAAATTTTAATAAATTAATAGGAAGGTAAAAAAAAATACTAAAAGTAGTTTCTACAGTTTTTTCAAAATAAATGAGCACAGATTTTACTAGTGTATAGGTAAAGGTATGACTATATCATCATCTTCTGGATACAGAAACCTGTACAAGATCATTTTTGCGTTTTAGATTTGGTTGAAATCTAATTTTATGTCAGGCATGATCATAGTGCAACGACGCAGTAAATGGGTAAACAGATTTTTCTCTTCCGAGTGTTATTGTAAAAAGGATGCATCATACAAAGTAAGGTAACAGTACCTCTTGGCTGACTGTCGTTGGAGACGTTTACTTCTCTCTGCACCCTTGATGATTTCCTAAGGACAGAGAATATCTTAATATCAACAATGAAATAGCTAAAAAAATATAAAACCTAAATATGGATAGATGGATAGATGGATGGATAGATAGATAGATAGATAGATAGATAGATAGATAGATAGATAGATAGATAGATAGATAAAGAGAACTTTATTAATCCTTCGGGAGTTCCCTTTGGGAAATTTAGGATATAACACACTATGTAAAATTCCTGTGCAATAAAAGTTTACAAGGCCAAAACCATTAGTAAATTAGCTTTCACAGTAAGGTGATTAGGAAAATGTTCTGCCATGACAGTAACAATACTGTAATTATTATTGTTTTTCTCAAATGATTGTGTGTACCTGGTGCAGCAGTCCTCAGCTTTGTCCCCAATTATAGGTGAGCTGCTTTTCAGCTCACTCTCAGCAAAGTCAATTTCCTGCCTTGCTCTCTGTCTTCTGGTTTTGGGAGTGTGATTGAAGCCATTCGCCTCATCCTGTACCATACTGACATGTCCCTGGAACAATCACATTAATCAGAATATTATTTATAGAACAAGCTTTTGTTGTTGTTGTGGTTTTCAGAAGGTGAAGGGGATGAGTAACAAGGATACCAAAGATTAAACAGTCAACCCTGTGAATTAATTCATGCAGAAATCAGAAGGGAATACTCACAACTCATGATAGTACAGACATTGTACATGACTTAAAAATGTTATTCTTCATATATTCATATTGTATTACAGTTTATTTGATTTGCACTAAGCTAAGAAACAAAAGAGGAAAGGCTTTGATCAGGATAAATCTTTGATTCTTTGATCCTTTGCCTGTATGTAGTCTGTCATAAAGACTTTGGATTGAGATAAAGAATAAATATTATATTACTCACTGGATGTTAAGTTTTTCTTTGTTAATTTACAAAGATGTTTACAATTGTAATTGTAAAACACAGAAATAAACATGTTATGAGGATGACTGTGGAATATGGAAATTACACTAAACATGTTCAAAATGATATTGTTATTGCTTTAACAACTAAAAAGTTCTGAAAACATCAATAACATAACATGAAATGTGGAAACGAAATGTGGTAAGAGGAAGGAATGTGAACTTGTATTAAATCTCATAAAGGAGACCATCCCAGGCCCTGATTGCCTACTTTTAGCAAATATTGTTACCTAGGCAATCTTTTCTGTGGGGCAACCTGGCCCAAGCAGCTGAAAAAACAACATCCTTGGGCATTCTTTTCTGTCCCTTAATTATGCTGATGATGGAGAGTTAATTTACAGAGTGAAAGGCTAGGTGTCTAGAACTTGGACCTGAGACCTTTAATGCTCCTGGGATAGCACAAACCTGCAACCTACTTCTTGTAGTTCATAGTTTGACCACATTATAGTTTGCTCAAAGACATGAAACTGCTTTCATAGTACATCTCTCAGGGAGAGGTGGAGAGAATATAGTTTGTTTATTAAGAATAGGTCACAGTTTGGCAAACTTAACTTTTCAAACTACTTAATTCCCAAAACATATGGTCAACCATTACATTCATGAATTAGGACATTATATGATATAACACCACGAAAATGTTATTTATATGTGTACGCGACAAAATGCATAACGTGTTAAATGAGTGGTGGTGAAGTTATTATGAAATTAGTTAGCTTAGCCTCCTTGCTTAGCAAACTTCCTCTTGTTGAATATTTTATATCCTAACTAACGCACTGTTTACTCGTGGTAAAACGAGCAGTTACTCACATTTACCAGGTTGTGTTCGGGGCTACTAAAACTATCCTCCAGCAATCGGTTGGAGCGGGTCACTCGAGCGGACTTTCTCTGTGACGCGGGAAGCAGCGACAGAAAGTCGGAGCTCGTATCCATGTCCATGGACCGCCGCTTCGGAGCAGTTACCGGCTCAGCTCCGTTGTTGCCGCTGCTGCGTAGCATCACCATTTTGACTGCAGACGGAGGTTAACGTTATAGCAGCACTAGGATGGTTAGATAGCAGCTACTCTACTCTTTAATTAGTAGCACGGTATACGGAACACGGTAAAAATAACGGTAAACATAGTCTAACAACAAACTGACACACTTGCGCACACAGTAGCTTCTCTCTAAACCCTTGATTTCTGGCGCCACAAACGTCATCACATGTTGTAAGGAAGGAAAATAAGAAGCTGCCGCCGGGAAAAGCAGTTCTATAAACTAAATCATCACTAAACCAATTATGACAAACGTTAGTTTCTTTTATTGAGGTGATACCCTAGTATATCTTTGGTTTCTCTGCAGCTGTTCGTAACCCTTCAGAAGCAAAATCAAAATATTCTACTCAACATTAGCGGAGTGATACGTAATCATTTTTAAAAGGTGTTCCGGCGGTTGAAAGAGCGCGCTCTGCGCGTCTCTGTCATAATCCAAAGAATGCGAGTTATACTGACTGTTATTTATCTGAAAACATAAATAAATAAAAACACTCGCCACGTAATTTAGGAAATTATCAACCAGTGACAATGCTTTAAAACGTCATCTCTCAAGTGAAATAGTTAACCAAATAAATGTTTTATAATCATAGAAAACTGCAGAATAACTGTACAGCGCTTCCATCGGTTGCCACTGCATGGCTGCTATGATAAAATATTTTGTGGATTCAATACTTTTTTTGCACTCGTTCTGTGTTAGCTTTTTGGGGTCAATGTTTATGATCATTATGTGTAAGAGTTTTCAGTAGTATATAATAATCTGTAGGAGCAGTGAATGAACCCATCATCTTTTATTTAAATGCAACAGGTCACAGGAGAGAAAATACAAATTCTAGAATTGTGTCTAGGGTGAAAAAAAGATTACATTGTGAAAAAACTGCTGTACAGACAACCAGATCCTGACAACAAGATTTCATGTTCCACTGTATCCTTTCACATTTTACTTGTCTTCACTATGACATCGTGGTTTTCTCCAATATCATCTAGAGCATGATTACGTTTATATTTTTGTACCAAATTAATGTGTCCAGTTAGTCATTTTTTGGTTGTCTGCGTGTTAACCACAAGCAAATGCTGTTATGAAATGGTAATGAGAAAGCTGAAAATGTGAGAGGATTCAGTGGAAGATATGAGACATGTGAGGAACCCACATCTCTTTTTGTATAAGAATCACTCAACTGTCACATTTCAAATGCTAAAAGTTTGTAATTTGCATCTTTCAAATAAGCAACAAAATTGGTCAATGAAGCGGGGTTTATTATCAGCAGTAAATTAACCTCTCAGAAACCTGATTTGTCAAAATGCTGCTGTTTAGTAACACATTTAGTGAAATTAATGGATTATGTAGGCATTTGTCATGTGACAGCTGGAGATTGCACTGCAAAGCCTTTGTCATGAAACGTGGTCTTGAAGTCTAGTCACCACACAGGGTCTGTCTACGCAATAGCAGCCAGGTAGTCTTTCACCTCTGCTGGGGTGAGTCTTTTGAAGCCTGCCTCATTACAGATTCCCACTTCAATGTTCTCCTCTGTCATCTGACCCTCAAAACTCTCCTATTACACAAAGAGAGAGAAACATGTAAACACCAATTTGGAACAACAACAACCAATGTAACAATTAGAAAAGAGTTCAGGGTTGTCGGTCCAGGTTATAACAACATACCTTCAATGTCAAAATTGCTGTGTGGATGGCATCTTCCAACTCCAGATCATTGTTATACCTGGTAAACAACAACTGTGTTTATCTTTTACTACGTATAAACTCCAGCTAATTGCTTAAAATGTGGAATAAATTTCATAAGTAAACTAAGTCTGTGCAACAACAAACCCTTACCGTTTCTCAAGGAATGTTTTTCCATTAACATAGTTCTTTCCCATGGCTGTGGCTTTCCAAGCAAAATATGCACCCTGCAAAAGTAAAAAGGTTTTAAGTTATTGATTTTTACTGACAAATCTGATAAATAATAAAACATTCATGTGTGATAAATTGTAGGTGACCCTGGACCCTGACATTGGTAGACTGTAACATTGAAACTTAAACACCTCATAAAATAAACTGTGGTGCATACATACAGGATAAAAAGCTCTCTTATTAAAGACCATTAAGATTTTGTGACAGCCAAAAAAGGTCCTTACAGTTGAAGGAAAGTCTAAATGAATGCACTTCATAACTTATTGTTAAAAAAATAAATCATTTTAGGAAGTAAAACTTCCTTCAACTTCCCTTTAACTTTTCAAGACTATTTAAAAATGTCTCAATTTAAAGATTTTAGTATTATTAAGATTCTGCAGAAATCTCTGTAATGTTAAGTACTATACTTTTTTATTTAAAAGAAGTAGGTGCATTATGCGTACGTACGGAGGGGTCTGACTGGAATAGGTAGGGCTGGTCTTCATCCCAACCAGCTATCAGCAATGATACACCAAATGGACGAACACCACTGGAAGAGAGAATGACGTAAATTTAATGTAAATAAGGGTTCTGCTTTGAGTGTATCCAGTGTATCTAACAGTTATGATTCAACAATGTAAACACAATGATGTCAGAACTAGTACACACCCAGATTGTGTATACTCCTGCATCACAGAGGCCACTCTCTGGACAAGTTGACCTGTGGGAATTGGCTCCTGGTAAACAAGGAAGTATTGCTGTGCCAACTTCCGAGCTCTTCGCACCAGGACCCTTACAAAATAAAAATAAAAAATTACTCATAACATCTTCTGTTTGCAAGAATTTGTCAGAAAACAGTATATTATCTTTAGAAGGTTTGTGGATTTGAAGCCTAAATAATGTTCCATTAGGTTGACTACATGTAAAAGCAACATCATTTTTTATTTTAATAGTAGGATAAAGCTGCATTTAGAGAAGTGCCAACGTTTTTCTAAAGTCTGATTGCTGAATCATATTGTGCTGCTGCAGTCTGGGTACTTATAGTTAAAACACAAGCTACTACAAATATTGATCATTTGTACCTGAGACAGAGTTATTGCCAAGTTTGGGGATATATTGTAGAAATATTCTGTCTGATATAAAGGGGGAAAAGTAAAACTGTTGGAGTTCTTACCTGTAATCAGGGCCCATGCCACTGTAGACCATTCCTATGTGCTTAGTGATGGGCTCCACTTTGTGGACACTCTGTTCATCATACAGGATGGACTTCTGTTTCTTCTCTGTTGCAAGAACCACTCCATTTGTAGCTTAAAAAATGTGAGAAATTATTGATTATAATTTATAATATGATATTAAAATGTAATCTTGTTTTTTAAAAAAGTAACAAATAGCCTTCAAAGAGGCTGTTGATAGTTGTATTTGTGGCTCTCAAATTGACTGGTCAATATTGGTAACTACTACTATTCTATAATGCAATATCAATACATCCAGTTGACAGATTTCAAGATTCAATGTTGAATAAGAATGTTTTTTCGCCTGTAAAACAAGGCTTTCGGCACCTTGTTTCCCAACCTCCATTGTCAGGTAAGGCAAGGGCTAAAATCTAAAATTAACTTACTTAAATTTAAGCATTTCAAAATAAACCTCTTTATCAAAAGTAATTGGGTTTTGCACTCAAAATCAACATGTAAAAATACGATTTCACTTCACCATACCTTTAATACCAACTGATGGAGCACCGGCTGCTACTGCTGCGAGAGCATACTCAATCTGAACCAGTTTTCCAGAGGGACTGTGAATAAAAACCATATGGTATACATTTATTGGATATATAACCGAATGCACTCCAGATATAAAACGGTATCACTGCGAAAAGTAAATTTAGCGTTTGCAAATAACGTGAGAAACTGAAAGCAAAACTTACAAAAACTGACTCATCAAACACTTAAAACTCGATTATCTTAGATTTGTCCTTGTATTAGGTCCTAATTTTAATATCATAATAAGTGGATGTAAGACTGGGTTAGACAAATAAAGCCGTTTCGTTTATTTAAGTATATTAGCTGCCATGCTAACACTTGACGGCAGCCTATTCATTGCACCGGCCCACAATGACAGTGCATCAACCACAATACCTTCAGTAAACCCCCCTCTCAAAAAACAGACAAATACACAAATATACATTAAGCTGTAACGATGTCAAAATCCTTAACGGGTACAGTGCAAGTATTTTCTTTAACGTTTCCACGCAATTAAATAAACTTTACCTGAATGTGGTGAGAGAGAAACTGTAGCCACGTTCCGCCATCTTGTTAGTTTTTCTTCTCTTATCAGTGGACAGCCACTAAGAATTCTATGTGTGCGTAGCGCCCCCTAACAGCAAAGATGACAAACCATAAACCATTGGCACGAATGTTTTTATTTTCTATTAAGTGTTTAGTTGTGTTAAGTAGTGCTGCACCATAGTTTCCAGCTCTATTCGGTTTGCGTAGCAATTGCTACCCACTATTGATATTGACAAACAATTCTAGAGTAATTAAATATTTTACTAATCGTGTTACTAGTCGTATGATGTCGTATGATGCGCCAATATTACCTCCAAATTTAACAGACCTTAAAATTAAGCGCCGTTGAGATGAGTCTGTAATACCCGGTTGATGTTATTATCTAATTATGAACCTAACAATATGGACTTTGACTTATGACAACGTTTATAAAACGTGTTTTGTCGAAAAATACCTTAATATCTTTGGTTCTTCGAACTCACTTAAGACTTGAATCGCCTGTGGAAGTTGGCCAACAGGTGGCAATAAAACGCAATAACAGTCTTGCCTGCCTGAACCAAAGCCGAAGAAGTAGCGAACTTGCAGTCGCTCTTTAATGACGTAGAAAAATCCTCTGACCGATTTGTCTGACATGTTTTAACCAGAACAACGTGTTTACAAACATAAAGATGAATTTATCAGGGTTTATACACAGCCTTAGATGCTCTTTGCTTCATATCGAGTGCAGACTTCTGCAGGCGGCTGGACTGGACCGACATCTGGGTGAGGTTATTCACCGTAGCCGTGAATGTTAGCTTTGATGAGCTACTGTATTCAATAACTTATGTTGATTAGAAGGTGAATGATAAATTTGTGTGTTCAGCTCCAGCGCTTGCAGTTAGCGGTCATAGCCTCCTGCCTCAACTTCGGCCTCAGGAGGAGCAGGAGGAACAGCCTCCCGGCCTCATGGACAGCATCATGTGGATGGCAGCACCCAAGAAGAGACGCACCATAGAGGTCAATCGCACAAGGAGGAGAGCAGTGGAGAAACTTATTAAAATCAAGGTACGATGAGAAAGTCCGGTGATATATCAACTCATCGACAACAGACAAACACAAAAATGCTTCAAAATTGTATCTGTCACATTTCAATTCTTGCCCAATTTTTATACATCACCATTTATTTCACCATAAATTTTGTATTTCTTTTGTTTGTTTTTGCCTTTGAAAAATTACAGATTTCTTAGAGTGGATATTTGTGTAATTAGTTATTTTCCTTATTTATTATAAGGATTGTCTATCTTTGCAATCAGCATTTTGTAGATAAACTGCTCTGCACCTTTAAGAAGTGTAAAATGTATATAAAATAGTTAATCAAGAGTTTCTTTATCAAAATAATCAACTTGTCATTATTCATCAGTCTCCAGCAATTATAATGTTGCTTCTGACTATATATGAAAAAAGGACATCATAATAACTGCTACTGTCTATGATTACTGAATAAGGGTTTGTTTGTTCACTGAAAACCTAATGTGAACAGAAATTTACTGATGTGTCTTTTGTAAAACTAGAATTTGCTCTTCCTTATGCATTTTCCTTTTTTAAAGCAGACCATAGTATTGTCAGAACTATCTTAAGCATAAAATAAGTGACTTTTAACACTGGTGAACTAATGATTAAGATGGATTCACTGAGGGCTATGAACAGCTCTGTCCACTTGTATAAATGAGGTAATCCTCCAATCGTTTTCACTCCTCTGTCTTTCTCCTGCAGACTAATATTGAACCATGTCTAGAATGTGGCCACCTGAAGCAGAAACATGTCCTTTGTGGTTTTTGCTACGCCAAGGTGCGCAGGGAGACCACTTTGATTCGCCAACAGATTCAAGTGATGGAAGGTGGCCCACTGAAAGCTCCTGCTGTGGAGACCATTGTGCTGTATGAAGGGGAGACACCGAGCCAACAGGACAAAGACAAGAGGATCGTTGAAAAGCCCAGTAAAAGACCTGCTTGGTTTAGCTGAAGAAGTAAATGTCAACGGCCACACACTTTCAGTTTGAAGTAGAAATATAGTAATTTTCTTTGATAAAATCTCATGCTCTTATTTAGTAACATTTTTCTATCAAAACCAAAACAATTGCATTTACATGTAAGACAGTGTGACTTTGTCAACATAAATGTAAATTTGAAACTATTGTACATTGACTGTTGGTGTAAAACATTCATGTATGCTATTCAATTGCCTATAAATAAAGGATTTAATGTAAAAAAAAAATTAAAAAGCATTGTAATTATTTAATGATTGCTCAGTAGCTGGCACTTAAAAAAACATGCTGCAAGTGCACTCGCACTTACAGTTATTAGACCAACATTAACTTTTTCAAAATGTGAGATATGTCTTTGTGATTATTACAGTTATTAGACCAACATTAACTTTAGTGTTTGAAAGTAGTGTTTTTTGTAATCTTTTTTTTCTTCGCTGATATTTCTGTCAGATTTCTCCCCTACTAGGATTTAGTTTGTACTCAAACATTAGCTAAGTCCAGAACAGCAGAAAATGTTTGTTAATTTTACATTCTTTTATTCTTAAAGCTAATTTTAGTCAGACTTTTTTAGTTGTACTCTGATTACTTACAACATTAATTCTGCCAAGGCTGAGGCATGGCCTTGGATTAATGTGTTGATGATTACTGTCTGTCAGAGATACAATTCAGCCATTAGTTGTGCACATCCTGTGACATGTGATCTTGTGTGAGAGACATCTGAGGAGTGGAGAAATATGTGTTGATGTCACAGGATGTTTTTTCCATTGAAATCCTGACTATTACAAACAACAAAATAGTTTTATTTTCCTGGGCCAATTAGTGGGAGTATGTAATGGTTGCAGAAAAATGTTCACGTTGGAATCAGGTGCTGGTCGCAGTGCCTGGTTGAACCAAGGGTGAGTTTTCACATCCCTCGGACATCTGCTGTTACAACAGGTGGTGTTGGTGAACCCTCTAATACATCCAGTTCAGTGTCATTTCCCAGCTTCATCCATCTATGTTCTTGTTTATGACACTTAAGATGACTGTTGGCTGCAGATTTTATGATTAAGGGTGATATCCTGTCTCTAGTGGTTAGATTGACTGGATACACCAAAAGTAAACCTACTTAAGTAGGTCTATGTTTAACTGAATTTTCAGTTTATTTTCTCTGGCAGTCCTTTGCCTCCTTTTAACACACAGGAACCTTGAAAGGGCTATGAAACGATGCACTTCTATCACCACTACTACCAGTACACAGAGCACAGGGGTGGCGGGCAGGGGTGCTCTGCCTCAGACCTTCTGCCTGTTTACTCCTTGGAATGTTCAAGAGGCCTCATGCGGTTGCATACACTGGATCCATCACAATGTGATAATGAGGAGTAAAAATAGAAACAAGGCTCAATATATAAGACATTAAAAACACCACCACATCTTAGACCAAGGTTTTTTTTTTTTCATAGTAAAAGTTCAGAGACAGAAAAAGCAGCTCGTCTTCACACAGGTACTAACATCAGGCTCTTGACAATCACACGATGAACCGTGTGAGCAGAGGCGGCTGCGACCTGATCGAATCTTTTTGTAATCTTCATGAAGAAAACCATGAGAGCAAAGAGAGCTATGAAGAGCATTGGCTGAGTCTGGTCATTGAAACAAGACTGCAATATAAGTAGGTTCTACCTGTTTGCGTTCTCTGTGCATTGTTAAAAACAGTAAACTATAAAGTGGGGTGTTGTTATGAGTCTCAAACACATTGATGATGAGGAATTAGATCATCTGTTGTGCAAATTAGTGCATGGATTAAGAAAAATAGCAGAGTTGACATTTCTGAACCTGTGTTTGCATGTTCTGATTTTAAGGGAGATGCTGTCAGAGACAGACACCGGTCACAGAGAAAGTTACAAGCACCAACTGACGTTCAACCTAATGGTTAAGAGAAGCCCTGGCCACACAATGACACTGGGGATTCACAATGGAGAAATATCAGTAAACCAACTGTCCTTCTCCAACATCCTCAGGTGTGTAGAGTTGCCAGACACACCAAAGAAGCTAAATAAAGGAGTAAAGAAGCAAGAAGAAATTAAAGTGACTCAAAACCAGAGTCAGGGAATAAGCGTGAACTTCAGAGTTTCAGACCTTATGTCCTCTCCAAAAGAAATATCTCAGCGAGAACAGAGGCAGGAGTGAAACTGTGAAGTTATTCAGGAAATATTCAACAAAGTTTTTAACTGTGGATTGATACTTAATACTGATATTGTGACATTTGCTGTGATGTACTGAAAATTGTTTCTATACAATAAAACTATTGTCAATGTTCGGGCGGTTGTGTTAAAGCTGGCACTGTATGTAAACAAGTCTCTCAATGTGAATAAAACTATTTTGTACAGCACGCTGTAGGAAAGCGATGATTGTTTTTCTTATGCACTGAATAAAATCATGAATTCCACAACAGCACCATCTGGTGGTCAAATACTGTGACAATGGCGCAAAAGTACCGGGTGACAAATACGGCACGCCCATGTCTCAATGTAACAACACAAAAACATGAAAATAGAGAGTAATATTATATGATTAGGTGTGAAATGCTATAGAAAACAATGGATTATTTACATAAATGATGCAGTCTATCATTTAATAAAAGGGTAAACCCTATTTTATTTTAACTTCAGTTGCATTACATCATGCCAGTGGCATGTCAGTGGTAGACATAGTATGTTGTGTCACTTTCCCTTATTTAAATGTTCAGCTGAAATTAAAACCTTATATATTCAATTAGAAATCCAGAACTAAACTTTAACATAATAGAGAAGAGAGGAAATTAAAGATGGATGAAATGGTACTGTATTGCAATTTGTTTCAATTTTTGGTAATTCTCAGACATGTAATCTGTGTTACAGCACACACTCACTGACAATATCTTGCAGGTATATAATATAAAAATAAATAAGTATAGAAATTAAATATCCAATAAAGATAAAAATAGCAATTCCTAGTGCATATATACTGTAGGTTTTGGGGTTTTTAAGTTAAAATAAAGTTCATCAACCCTATCTGGAGTCTGTGGTTGTAGTGATTTTATTTTTCAGTATTTTGTTTAAGATTGGAGATGATGTAGAACATAGTCGCGTTGACATTGCATCACATGCATTTCACATTGTCATGACATTTCTTTTGTGAATTTCAAAATGTTTCATTTTGTGTTTACCTGAACTTTACCTGCTAATAAGGCCTCTTCAGCTTTTCTGTGTTTTTGGACAGTGACCTGCAGCTGCCAGTACTTCAAATACACCCACATGAGGCTTCCGTTCTTCCTCTTGTCCATGTTCAACAAATCAGCACAGTGTTTATCTCTTTTGAAAATGTCCTTCAGATCAGACTCAACATCTAGTTCTGCCATGACGGGGTCCTTGACCACCTTCAGGAGCAACTGCAGCACCGGATTTTACAAGTCGTTGCTTCTGTTCCTCCAAGGTCTCCCGTTCCTTGAAAGGAAGATGGACATGTTTTGGTTATGAAAAGACTAAAATATTCAGCAACAGTGAGTTGAAATAACAAAAAGGAAAAAAACACATACCTGCTGCAGCTGTTTCTGTTGTTCCATCTGATGCTGGCTCTGTGAGATGAGGGCCTGCCTGTAGCCTTTCACCTTCTGTTTCTCCTTTTCCAGCTCAAGCTCCAGTGTAGCAGCTTTTCTGTGACTCTCCGTAAGTGTCGCTCGGTACCGTGCCTCCATTTCACTTTTTATTAAGGACACATCTTTGTCGTACTGAGCTTTGGCATTCTGGATCTCCCTTTGTGACTCTCTGGTCCAAATCCAGCCTGTTTGAAATATTTGTAGATTAAACAAGTAATACGAGCAATGTATAAAAAATAGAAGGTATACAGTTATCATGTAATATTTGATGAGAATGATGAGATGAAACACCTGCATTTACTTGATTTATTTGATAGTTTTATGATTCAGGTATATCTAAGGAAAAAGCTATTTCTAATCTACTTTTACCAATTACTTACTGATATGACAAATTAAAGTAAGGGAAGACCAGTACCATGAGGTTAACTGTGGGTATCATGAAACAGCAACTGTCTACCTATTTCATAAAAACCCCTATATCTTGAACTTACGAAAGGCAGCCAATCCCAACATTGGGACCAGGAGTGCGTAGTTCCATTGGTTACCATCACCGGCTCCCGCCCCCCTTCCGCCAGCGCCTGGTGGGATGTTCCATCTAGGGGGGTCATTCAAGTTGTTCATGGAGCCTGTTGTCAATCCTGCAGATAGAGAGAAACCAAAACATTCGTGGTCATGCACGTGGACTATACTGCACATTAAAACTGTTGACAAAGGGTGGAATTGTGAATGCAGACCTATCAATGTTGATAACACTATGGTTCCTTATTGTTACAGTAAACGACGTAAAAACAATGCCAATATAAACTACTACAAAGTTTCCCTGATTATACACGCATGCTTTAGAAATGTATTATAAAAACCTAAAATAAACATGCACTTTAAAGTAATAGCTACCCGTCCTGCACCTGCATTGTCGTAAATATTAGACCTCAAAACTGATAAGCAATTACCTTGTTTACATTTACACAAATCAGTGCGACAAGCCACATTTAGAACGGTTATTAGCGAACTAGACGTTTGACAGCTGCAGCTAAATACAACAATGCTAGGTATGCGCTAACGACCTAGCCAACGTTTCACTTGCTGATTAATGCCTAATATTGCATAAGACATTTTTGGGCATAACGACATCCACTCAAACGACAAGTAACTGTACGTCTTTCACGTATACGTTACAATTCTCACCTTGAAAGAAAAGTCTAGGTCACGTATGTATTAGTTCCTCCGAACAGAGATTGAACGTGGACCAATCCATCGGTAGCAATGGTGGGGGTATTGTTTAAGTTAAGTTTAAATGGCTTGTAATATGCATGAAGACCAAGTTATTTTTTCATGAAATAATTTATTTCTACCTAATAATGTATTTGGTTTCATAAATAACCACTTTTAGATTTCCAGAGCTGATGTCAGCCTTTTGCAACATACGGTACACCTCTACTTTAGGTGAATCGTTTGTTCCAGTGCAACCAACTATTTCTTCCTCCGCAAAACTTCAGAACCGGTCACCCAACTGACAACATGGCGGGTGTTTGTGCTGCCTCTCGGCTCTTCTCCAAGACGGTACTGTCTAAAACTAAAGCGGTAAATTGAATTATAAGATACACTATATAGTGTTGAATATTGTCCATCAATATCCTGTATGTGTTTCAATATTTGTTGTTAGGTTGACTGTAAATGTGCTTTCAGATTTTGTAACAGTGCGCATCCCGACTTTCATAACCAGTGTTACGTAGCGTCGTGGGGTTCAATGTGACACAATGGAAAATAGTTTTTAGTCGTTTGTCAAAACAAACAAACACTATTTTGTCTTTAAGGCTTTTACACTATAGGTTGTGGGAAACATTTTCAGTCAGTTGCCCGTATGTTTTTGAACGGTCATTGAAACCGCCCTTTGGATGTTTAACATTAGCTGTTGTTTAAGGAGAAATAGATGACAGTTGTCAATTGCTGTAATAATCATTGTAATTACAATTCTAAGGTTTTTTTTTGTGGGTATGCTTTACTTCCTTACGTATTTTACTCCCCTTATTAATAAAACAGTTTACAGCGACAAGCAGACTTTGTAGCGAATGCTACTTGACAGTCTTTTATATATTTATTTAATGTCAGTAATGACTTACACCTTGTGTTTGTTAAGCTGTCTTCATTAATATGTTTTGCTTCATCTTCTGCCAGGTCCCAGCTGCTGCAGTACAGGGCTGTCGAAACTTTCACTTCTCCATCTATGGCAAAAAGAACAATGCCAAAGTATCAGACAATGTGAGTGTCATTTAACATGTAAACGGTTGGATATCCTAAATATTGACGTTAACAAACTGCATTTGGCTGAAGGAGAATATAGTGCAAAATTGTGAGTACTCTTACCTTACAGCAGGGAGATAACTTAATTGAGCCTGGTTGTCCTATTTGGAGTTTCTGTGTCCTGGGTTTCCATGGATTTTATCCTAGATGTTTGAATTCCTCCTCAACAATCTAAAAACATGAAGCTGGGGATTAGGACAATTGAACACTTAATGTTTGTTGAAATAGATTCTTAAAGTAGATCTTTTTGGGCATCCATTCCAATTTTGCTTTATTTAAAAAATGATTACTGTTCATTTTTGAGATAATTATAGCTGTATCTCACCCTCAATGTACACAGATCTCCACCCAGTATCCAGTTGTGGATCATGAGTTTGATGCTGTGGTGGTTGGAGCTGGAGGAGCAGGACTGAGAGCAGCCTTTGGTCTGTCAGAGGCTGGATTCAACACTGCATGTGTGACTAAACTTTTCCCCACCAGATCCCACACAGTGGCTGCACAGGTACATGATTCTTTATTTTTATTTTATTCTCATACTTTTATTTTTTTTATTCCACTCCACATTGGACTGTATATTACTGTGTATGTGACAAATACAACTCTTGAATCTTGATCTTGACCTTGACATAATTCTGACAATTTTCTTTCACAGGGTGGAATCAATGCAGCTCTTGGAAACATGGAGGAAGATGACTGGAGGTGGCATTTCTACGACACAGTTAAAGGTTCTGATTGGCTGGGAGACCAGGATGCTATTCACTACATGACAGAACAGGCTCCTGCAGCTGTAGTAGAGGTACACTTTGCCCTCTGCACTTTGATAACTTTAGGTGTCAAATATTGTAGTTGTTGCTGCTAATCTGAACCATAACAATCAAATGGCTTTTTATCATCCGGTTTTCCACCAAAACAATATTACTCTTAAGTTTTTAAGTTAAATTAAAAAATGCAATGGCACACTGTCCTTTTGCTCCTTTTTTTCGCAGTTGGAGAACTTTGGCATGCCGTTTAGTCGCACTGAGGATGGAAGGATCTATCAGAGAGCTTTTGGAGGTCAGAGTCTGAAGTATGGAAAAGGTGGTCAGGCTCATCGATGCTGCTGTGTGGCTGACAGGACCGGTCACTCACTGCTGCATACACTTTATGGACGAGTAAGTTCCTTCTCACCTTCATCTCGGACTTGGTTCATTTGGAGAATAATGTAAGTATGATTTAACTTAACAGGATGTGTTTTTTTTTTGTTCTTCTTTCTTCTCTCTAGTCACTGCGATATGACACCAGCTACTTTGTGGAGTACTTTGCCTTGGACCTGCTCATGGAAGATGGAGAATGTAAAGGAGTAATTGCTCTTTGCATGGAGGATGGATCTATTCATCGATTCAGGGCAAACAATACTGTCATTGCTACTGGGTAGGACAGACAAAAGGATACTTTTGTTACGTCTCTAGTTCCTAAACCCCTGCATATGTGGATGGTTTTCTTAACCTTGAACTATATGGGTTTTTTCAGTGGTTATGGAAGGACCTACTTCAGCTGTACATCAGCCCACACAAGCACAGGAGATGGAAATGCAATGGTGACCAGAGCCGGTCTGCCCTGCCAGGATCTGGAGTTTGTACAGTTCCATCCTACTGGTAAGAAAAGAAACTCAGTAAATCCAACTCACAATGTAGGTTTACATTGACGTTAAATTATCTTTCTGTCAAGGATGATTAGAAATATTTTTCATTTTATTGTCAAGGTGGTATTAAAAGCCTCAGCAGTCTAGACTGTTTAATTATATTACTAATATGGCTTTTCAAGTTTCGATTTTACAGAACAAAACAAATGTTTAATATTTGGACTTTTTTGTTGAATTATTGATTATTGGTTATTGATATATCAGTCAAACTATGGTTTTTTAAACTGTACTAATCAGAGAAGTTAACTGTGATCCAAAAATAGACCTGAATTTGCATAAATGCAAGACGACATCTTTGTGTTCCTGTTCAACATTTGACAATGTCTGAGTATGTTTTGTATTAACATAGCAAACCTTAATATTTCTAAAAATTCTTGGACCCATTTCTCTGTTCAACTGTTTTAACATTTGAATGACTTAAATCAAGTTGATAAATTGAATTAACATCCTTAAAAAAATACAAAAATAAATTTAAATAAATTTTGTCACCTTGGCCAGTCCAATATTTTCATTTATATCTCATGTGACATCTTCACAGGAATTTATGGAGCTGGTTGCCTGATCACAGAGGGTTGTCGTGGTGAAGGTGGAATCCTCATCAACAGTGAGGGAGAACGCTTCATGGAGCGTTACGCTCCAAATGCTAAAGATCTTGCCTCCAGGGACGTTGTGTCTCGCTCGATGACCATAGAGATCCGAGAGGGACGGTACGAACAAACAAAACTAGGTGTATTACTTTTGTTGGAATCTTGGACTTAGATAAGAGACAAGATCCAATTTTGTGTTTTTTCTTTTCTTCCTCAAGGGGTGTTGGTCCAGAGAAAGACCACGTGTACCTGCAGCTTCACCACCTGCCTCCTCAGCAGCTGGCCTCCAGGCTGCCTGGTATCTCTGAGACTGCCATGATTTTTGCTGGAGTGGACGTCACCAAAGAGCCCATTCCTGTGTTGCCTACAGTTCATTACAATATGGGTGGGATCCCTACAAACTACAGGGGTCAAGTACGACCAACTGCACCCAAAAGAATTTCTTTTCTGTAAAAATAACATTTATCCATTAAAGTAACATACTTGGTTTTTCCATGCCAGGTGATCACACACACCAATGGAGAGGACACAGTTGTTCCTGGACTTTACGCCTGCGGTGAGGCGGCATGTGCCAGTGTGCACGGTGCTAACCGACTTGGTGCCAACTCCTTGCTGGATCTGGTGGTGTTTGGAAGAGCCTGTGCCCTGACCATTGCAGAGGTGCACAAACCTGGTGAGGACATCATGTAAAAAAATGTATTGTTATATTCACTCAGAAGAAGAGAAATATTAGTAATTCTAAACAATGTGATTACTTTGACAGAACAGTGGAGCTTTTTGAGCTGTAGTGTAGTTGAGTTCTTGAGCACATTATGTCAAGACAGGGTTTTATTTTGTTTGTTTGTCTCTACAGGGGAGAAACTCTCTGCACTCAAGCCCAGTGCAGGAGAAGAGTCTGTGGCCAACCTTGATAAAATGAGGTTTGCCAATGGATCCATGAGAACCTCTGAGATCAGGCTCAACATGCAGAAGGTAACCAATGAGTCATTCAGATTGCTAACGGAAAGTCACAACATACAAGTAGTTATAAACATGTAAACCTCATCTTTTGTTGTACTGTTGTGTCTTAATGAATCTATCGACTAAACATACTCTTCATCTCCATTCAGACCATGCAGGCTCATGCTGCTGTGTTCCGTACTGGTTCTGTGCTAAAAGAGGGATGTGACAAAATGGATGGCATCTACCAGACCATGGATGATATCAAAACCTTTGACCGAGGTACTGATGCAAAAACGTGACTTCACAATTGAATGTGATTCCTGGGACCCCGTTGAACCTGACATTGATTTAAGTTTTTATTCAGGTAGATTGGCAGTAGAGACATCACCTTTTCTTTTGTCTTTGTTTTACAACATCTACAGCAAATACAACAGCTCATTATAACAACTTCACATTATGCTGTAGTTCAGTTATTGATCATTGATGAGACTTAGTTTACTTACTTACATGTATCTCATGAAATGTAATAAGGTTTCTGAATAATTGTGGCCACTCCAGAAAATGTTAATGTAAACAACAAATGCCCCTGAGACATCAAATCAGCAACACTCCACAGACAAAACCATTTTTTTTTCCATCCCTACTCATCCTTTTTCAGGCATTGTGTGGAACACAGACCTGGTAGAAACCCTGGAGCTCCAGAACCTGATGCTGAACGCAGTCCAGACCATTCACTCTGCTGAGCAGAGAAAGGAAAGCAGAGGAGCCCATGCCAGAGAGGACTTTAAGGTGAGTTGAAACAAAACTGATCAGCAATCATAGGATTTTGCTAATAGGTGTTTTCCATATGAACTTTAATTGGAAAAAACAAATGAAAACTTTAGCAATGCACTATTGCTATAAATTGAGTTCTCTGATTTGATTCACCGACTCCTTTTTCCTATGGTGACATTGATTCAGTTTGCAAATATACTTTACATTTCTTCACATTATGCAATTCTATTAAATTCCAGGAGCGTGTGGATGAGTATGACTACTCCAAGCCTCTGCAGGGTCAAGAGAAAAAGCCTTTTGACCAGCACTGGAGGAAACACACCATGTCCTACGTTGACCCTAAAACTGGCAAGGTATGTTCTTGTCCCCTATGAACTGACACTTTTATTATAAATATATAACTGTCTATTTTGTCAAATTCCAGGTGACTTTGGAGTACCGTCCTGTTATTGACCACTCTTTGGACGAGCAGGACTGCGCTCATGTTCCTCCTGCCATCAGATCTTACTAAAAACAAACAAACCTGTATTCACCCATGATTCTTCTTCAATTTCAGATCTCTTCTGATTTTCATTATGTATTATCCTGTATATATATATTAAAAGAGCTGACATCGTCTGTATAATTATGCTTGCACATTTGTATCAACTTCAAATTGTTAAATACATTTGTGTGCTGTCAACTTCATTTTATAATGTCATTGTCTGTGTCTTTGTGCAGCAGAAAATGTCAGCATGCTTCTCTGTGTTTTTATGCTGTAAAGAGCTGGGTTTGTGTGTAAATACACAGTATATGATAAACACTCAAGACTCATGTGGCCGAGGATCATTTTCAGGGTCCAGCTGATGAACACAGTCAATGTTAGAACAACTTAAACTTTGCTTTTGGCGGTGACAAAGTTTCACTTAAAATTCACAGTTCGTGCAGAGAAAACAACTAACCGTGTCGTTTGGCTGTCTAAAAGAAAAAGGAATAATGCTATTGTTTATGTACACATTTCAGACTCAAAGGAAAGTGAAAAAAAAATGTAAAAATTGCTTAGGTGTATAATAAATATAGCAATTTATTCTGTGTAAGAAATACTAATGTAGACATTGTTCCCATTGGTGAAACACATTCTCATGCAGTTTTGTGGATGAAGATTTTAAATCAAGTAAAATTGTGTGTGCCATTATCCAAATTAAGCTGCTCTTGTCACATGGTGTTCAACATTGACATCTTTGTACACACCTTGTTGTTCTTCAAGAGGGTGGATTTAAGTGATGTGTTCCCAGCTGTTTGGCCTTTTCAGCTTAAGAAAATAGAATTAAAATAAATTAATTTCCAAATATTAATGCTAGTAATGTCAGTGACTTACTTTCGAACAAAGCTATATATTCTATAAAAATAAAGTGTTTTCTACTCAAATTAATCTACACTTAACACCGTGTTTTTCAAATGAGTGATCTTATTTATTTGCATGTTTTTAAAACAAGTGAGCCTTGGCTTTTTTCTTTTGGTTTTCTTTTTTATTAAATATAATTCAATAAATCATCTATGCACAAAAAGTAGTTGTAGTTTTCTCATCATCAAAAAGTAAGGTTAAGAGCCTGCCTTACTGCAGTCATGTCAGGCACGTTATAAACTCTGAATGTTAACAACACTCCAGTATCATGCAGGCCATTGAAAGAACTAATTAATTTCTTAATATGGATAGTGGTGCGCAAAAGTTGAAATGTGCCCACATTTTAACAACGGGTTCTAGGGGTTTAAATTAGAATTAAAGAATTACACTTTGGCAGAAATAAGATTTTAGTATAAGATTTTAATTTAAAAAAATCAATCATATGAAGCTGCCATAAGAGCCAAAAATTGGTGAAAAAGCTATCAAGTAACCGTACTGTTCCTTTTTGGAAAATGTTCTCTGAGTTTATCTTGAGAAATTTAGAAGAATAATTTCTTTTATATTTTTATTTTTAACATATCTAGTAAAAGAATATTATCAACACAGTGAATTAAAAGTTTTCCATGTACTAAAATTGAAATAATTATATATTTTAATGAGAAAAAAAATGTTTTGTTGATTTTGTATCTCTAAATTTCAGTTAAAATAATACATTCACAAATATTTCTATAAATTATGTAACGTCCAGTAGGTGGGGCCTCCGCTGAGATTTGACCATAAAACAAAATGTACACACCTTTATAAATATTTAAAATTTTCATTTAATAACCACATATCAAATATTTAATATACTATGAAAAAAATCATAAACATGTTTGGTCTGTGAAACTTGTATTGTTTTGTTTTTTGTTCAAACCTACAGTGTGCACACCATAAAGGTTGGACACCAGTGGTGAAGATCATTTCATCAGTGTGTTGGTTTTACACAGGTTTTCCCAGCACTCAAACAGAGAGTGACTTTAAGACATAGATGTTGATTGAAAACAAAAATAAACAGACTCACAGGGAAGTGTTCGCCATTGAGTTTAAGTTCCTGCCACATAGTAACGAACAGGTTCAAGTTGAGATGATCCAACAGGAGGTACACAGACACGTTCCTCTTCCTGCTGGCTTCCAGAAGATCACAGAGCAGCTCCACGTCTGTGAAACTGTCCATCACTATGGCCAGAGACTGCACACACACACACACACACAGACATCTGACAACTGTGCACACAAGAACCAGAACTGACAAAGTGATGTGTGTACTCTTAGTGTACCATTGTAGACTTTCTGAGGACTGTTCTGACCAGATCTTTCATGCCTGCTGCTCTGTTATCAGACTGGAAATACAGTTCCACACTGGACTCACATCGCTCAGGGTCTGACGAGGTCTGATCTGGTGAAGGCAAAAAGTAAAACAAAGAGTAGAGAGAAAATACAACATTTGTCCAAATATTTAGAAATAGACCATGACAGATTTGAAACAGACCGTTACAACTACCAATATAGAGAATGCACTGTACACCTCTACTGTATTTTTGTGGAATTGCATGAAAAAAGCAAGTGTGCACTTAGTGTCGGTAAAGACTGTATGTAAATAAATGTGCGTGAAAATCAGAAGTGTCTCCACTTTCAGAGCCATGAACAGACAGATGATGCTGCAGCAGAGGCAGTTACTGCCTCTCTGAGGTAGAAGACTGGACTACAGACCAACAAAAGAGCTTAGGGAGAAAATGGCACACCCCAGCTTGGGGCAGGGAGGTTTCACAGATGATGAAATGTGACAGGTGAGAACTGAGAGTGAGAAACAAACAGTTCACAGAACATTCCAGATGAATAAATTGGGGCTTGTGGATATTTAACCTCTGTAGAGGGCGTGACACAAATGTCAGAGACAATAAATCATCGATTTTTGATACTCATTCAGTCGTCCTAATGAGGCAGTTTGTAGAAGAATGTAGAGTTGGACTTAAATATCAGGAGCATTTTTCTTTGGGTTGTCAAGTCTCCACCATGAAGAAATGGAGTATTTCTTCCATGAAATCATATTCAATACATAAAGTAAAAAAAACTATAATGTAATTCTGCAGTACACAGACTGTGATACAATTGACAAATTTAATTAAGAGGCAATAATAAATGAAGAAAACAATGATAAAGACGAACACAGCAATTTTTAAAACACAGGTAATTGTGGATTTCAAAAGCAAAACTATTTTTAAATAGGACAAAATTAAAAATACATCGTAGAAGACCAGTCAACATGACAGTTCTTTTTCATTCATTTCCTATTGAAATGAATGAAAAACAAAATGATAAAAGATACCACGCAGTTCAGTCTGACCCACTGTCAGTGGTTGATATGGTTTTGTTCTGTCCATTTGGAGACACAGCAGTGAGTGGTCACTGAGAGACAGAGGACAGTGTGTGGACAGAAGGTGAGGAGGCAGAGTTGCCTTCTCTGGCTCTCGCTGCCAGTTTGTGTCTCAGTTCTCTGATTTCTTTCAGCAGTTCTCTCTCACTGGTGTCCAACTGGGCCCGACCTCGGTCCAGAGAGACTGAGAGGAGAAATAGAAACAATGAAAAAATTAAAGAAACTTAAGAACAAGTGTTTTTATGTACATTGTTACTGGTAGCCACAGTAACTCACAGTTGGTGGAGGTGCTCTCTGAAGGTGAGCTGCTGTTCAGACACACCATTGCGGCTCTGCTCGCTCTTGGAGGGGAGACTGTGTTTGGTTCATGTGTTGGATCAGTGCTTCTGATCAAACTTGGAGATTTACATCTTTTGGAGTCTGAAACAAAGAAGACACTGCAATAAATACCGCTATAAACACTGTGTCTTCTGTGCATGTGTGTTCCAGTACCTGCACGTGCTAAAGAACCGGCCCATTCCTGCCTTTGTAGCTGGGCTCTGGCCTCCATCACGTCATCCCACTGGAAATAAAAGTTGGTGCAGAAAGTTTATTTAAAACACTTCAATTTAAACTCATAAGAAAATTATCAGCCATGAACAACCGCAAAGCAGACATGAATCAGGAACAAGGAAACATCACAATGAACAATGAACCGACAAGCACTGAGTTAGGGAGAGAGGTATGTATACCCAGGTACCAGGTGGTATGAGTGAGACAAATTAATAGGTAATCACAGGACACAGATGACTGTGATGACACCGATAACAGAGCAGAACGGCAGGGAGACAGACAGACCTCACATAAACGACAGCAACAATTCCCTTTTCTCTCACCTTGTGATAATTCAATACCAAATGACTGAATTTCAGAATCTACCTGTAGCTGCATCAGAACAGACAGAAAACTACAGGCTACAGAGACTTTAAGGTAGCTGCATGAAAACTTTTGTTTCTTACTGTCTTAATGCTAAATTCAGACTTGATTCTCTTGACCATCTTTCGAGGAGCCCCTCCTTAAAGACGTGGCCTGTCTGTATATACAACCATGTTGATAAAACTAAACCTTCTCACCTTTCGTCCCACCACATCTCTCATGGTGTCAGCCAGTCTCTTCTCCTCCACCAGGGTTCGTTTGTGATGCTCGATCATTTTCTCCCTCCTCCTCTCCTTTTCAGCATCAACCTGCTGAAGCCGCTCGTCTATGTCTTTTCGCCAGTTGAACTCCACGTCAATTCCAGACGCCTCAGCCAAGGACTCCTCCAGGAGCTGTGTGCAAAGAATAAGTAAATTAAATAATAAATTATGTGAATTTTTTGTGTTTATTTTTAAGTGTAAAGAATTACCTGCATGTTTGCCTCA